TCAGCAGGTTTTTCCCCTCATCCAACCTCCCTTTGTTTTGCAGCTTCTCACTTGAAGGCTCTTTGTAAGAGGAGTTGACACGGAGGGGAGACAAGCTTCCGTCCACATACACCCTCTTCGGAACAGATACCCCACAATGTGGATTCCCCGAAGTCGCATTTGGTATCTCACCAAGGAGTTTCTCAAATTCATCAAACTCTAGTTCACTCCTCTTCTCTTCCATTTCGTAAAAGACAGCTCTCTAACCAAACAAAGCAGAACAACTAAGAGGCAGTCAGAATCCGCAGAGAAGGTCCTGCATTTAGGCAGCAAGGAAAAGCCATCCATGATCAAAATTATAACAATAAACCAACCTTACTTCAAACCATCAACTAAAATTACAAAAAACCATCAGTGTCTACTCGAATTGACAAACAATTTCATGACATAAACAAAAAAAAATAATGAAGAAAACATACCACTATCAATTTCCAAACCAGAGAGACAAACACCAACAAGAAGTGAGAACAAATTAATCCCATTCCCTTGTAGTAGAACAACCTAACCCGATTCTTAAAACTCTTTTTTTTCACTATTCAGGAATGAAAAAGTCGTTTCAGTGCGTTAATGAACAATGTAGCACATTCATGTCACCAATATCATCCAACCAATGAAGAAAATACAAACAAAAAGTAACATAAACAAAAAGGGATCATCTAAAAGCATCAGTCAACATCAAATGATTCTACACCTAAAAATCCATCAATGCCCAAAACCCAGTTCAAGAACACCTCAAATGAAGACAATAAAATTATGATCATGATCATCAAATCACAAGGGAAAAAAAATAAACAATTTTTCCCTCGATTTTCACGGCCACCACAAAAGACTTTCTCAAATCCGATTCTATGATAACCAAATTCTCTACAAAAGGAACACCAAAATCGATCACTTCACCAAAAATGCACCAAAACCCAGAAACGATCATCAAAAATCCAATTCAAAATCACAAAAGGAAAAACCAATGATCATCCATAAAAAATTTAACACATCAAACAAATCATCAAACACTTAAAACCCAACAATGCAAAGGGACAACCCCACGTGGAACAAGAGAGGTACCAGTAAAAGAAAAACACACCCAGATGAAGAAGAAGAGCCAACCTGCATCAAAGAGAAGAAATGGCCATAGATGATCAAAAACCAAAAAAAAATAAAAAATTCTTTTTTTATGTTTTTTTTTTTTTGGAAAAATAAAAGAAAAGGGTGTTTGGGTAAAGAGTTGTTGTAGGTAAAGAGGAGAGAGTAGTGAGGCAGTGATGAGGCGGCGTCAAGAAGAAGAAGAAGAGAAGGTTTTCAATTTTGGAAGAGAGAAAATATATTGAATTTAAAGATGTGATTTTTTTTTGGGAAATAATAATCATAATTATTATACGAAATCCACCAACACACCAAAGAAATCGCAACTACACATTTACTCACCAAACCAGAAATGCCGAACTTTGTTGGTGTTTTTGTTTTGGTTTCTTTTTCTTCCTTTACATTTACATTACATGCATGGAAATGGAAATATGGCCAAATGAGTCTTTACATTAAATGTTGTGCGTGTACATATATATAATTCTTATGTTATGTGTCATTTCTTTTGTATTTTTTGTTTTCATTTGCTTATTATAATAATGTTTTTTTTTCATTAAAATAATGTTATACATTACACTTACTTTTTGAGGCTTGGTCTTCTACTTCTAAAATCTACCCTTGTGCTGCAAGCAAAAAAAATCCACCTAGCTACTTTTTTGTCTTCCCCTTATTTTACTCTTTTTTATTCTTTTGGGTCCTTTCACATTTCTGTGCTCGAGTGTGTGTGTATATTTAAATTTAATTATCACAATTAAAAAAAAATAAACGTCTGACAAATTTTACAAAATTTTGTGAAAATTGGATACACTGAAACGAAGCTGAACTTTTGTACCACACTAATAAAGTTTTGAGAGAATTACTTGAATTATTTTTAAGAGTGAATGAGTTTTAATTTTTATTCTTAATTGATATTATTTTGATTATCTTTTTTATTAATATAATTATGGATTAATTTCATAAATGATCTCTGAAGTTCATCTTTAATCTCATTTTAATTATTGACTTTTTAAACGTTACACAGTTAGTCCATGAGGTTTTATTTTGTTTCAATTTCAATCATTTCATTAATTAAGTGTTAAAATTAGATAGAATTTGTGTAAATTAAATACCAAAATTAGAAACAACTTTGATTTTAAGACTGTCTGCGAACATTAATTTTTAGTTTTTTGAATTATTTTTTACCCTAAATTTTATATATTTTTAATTTTAGTCCCTAATTTTCACAAATTTCGTCAAATATTTAACACTGAGCTAACAAAAGGACTGAAATTGAAACAAAATAAAATCTCATGAACCAATTGTGAGACGTTTTAAAAGTTAGAAACTAAAGTGGGATTAAAGGTAAACCTCAAGGACTATTTGTGAGATTAACCCAATAATTATTTAATATTAATTAAGAGTAAAAAATAAAAAAAATATAAACTTGGGTACTTTAAGAGAGTATTTATCTCTTTTTTCCATAAGTTTTCCTTTCTTTTTTATTTTATAAGAATAAGAATCATCAGTAGTGCACGTTCAAATGTGAGATCCTATCAACATTAAATATCACATAAATATGAGAAAATTTAAAGTTTCTTTCTTTTCTTTTTTATTTTTTGTTTTGTTTTTTATTTTGTTTTTTGGTTTTGTTGTTTGTTTTTTCTTTTTTCTTTTTCTTTTTTTTTGTTTTGTTTGTTTTGTTTTTTATTTTTATTTTTTTGAGTGGGCGCTACACAAACTCATGAATTATTCTTTACCTTGATGAAATAAGTAGACGAAGTTTTCTATTAATGCCAAGGCAATGGTTATTTATATGTTGTAATTTTGTTACCTTTTTATTTTACAAGCGGGATGGGAGGTTTGTTTGTTCCGTAAATCAATCACGAAAAAGGTGGGATTTGATCTCATATTACTGATTCAACCTTAAAAAAACTATTTATTGTTAAGTAACAACGTCATCCATTTAATCTTGATGATCCCAAATAAAAAAAAAAAACTATTTATTAATTGTTAAGTAACAACGTCATCCATTTAATCTTGATGATCCCAAATAAAAAAGAAAAAAAAACACGTGATGAATTTAACCAACTCATTTACATGGCTTATGCAATACATTTATCATTATAATAAATAAATTACCTCATAGTTCTTATAGTACGTTACAGCTTTGATTGAAACTTGGTTCATTTGAAAGTAATTTATGAAAAGATCAATTTCTAGTTATAATGTGTAAGGAATATATAATTGAGGAGTTGAAATTATCAATTATTATGAAGGGAGCTAATTTTAATTTAAATGTGTCAATAACATCGATTATAGAGTCGTTTTGTTGTGCCATAACATAAATGCTATTTTCAACTAGAAATTGCCAACACATGGAAATTTTCTATGAACTTGTGGAAATAATAGCATATTTCTAAAAATTGAAGGGAAAAAAAATAGTAGTTTTAAATTATTTTTTTCCTTAAAATTCCTGAACTATTTTTGAATCCCACTGGAGTCGCTAATGCCAGAGAAGTCCATGGGCGAAACGTATGCTGGCTTTTTCTTTTTGTTTTATAGGTTTTGTTTTGGTATAAGAACCACGTCGTTTTCGCCGAATATTTTATGGCTTTCTGTTGGCTTTAGTTAAGCTTCTAATAACGGAGATAAGTTTTCTCACGTTTCATGTTGACATTTTATTTGTCTTGTTTATTTGGTCTTCGTTAGATTTGTTTCTATGCGGGGTTAGCATTGGCCTTTGTGTTATAAAGTTTTGGTCCTCGATACATCATAAGTTTCAATTGATTATAGATGTTTTTTATTTTTTTTTATTTTTTTTATTTATTTATTTTAAAAAAAGAACTCTATATGTGCTCGATCTTAGTATGCTATCTCGTAGTCGAATTGCATGCATCTCTTTTTCTTTGAGGATCAAATTGTATTGGTGGAACCTATCTTTGTTGAGGGTGATATCTTTTTATTATTTAGCCATTTGTAATGTTTTATAGTGGTTGTGTCACTATTTTAGTATTGCAATTTTTCTTTATCTAATAATACATAAAATAGTTTCCTTAAAAAACAAAAAAAACATAAAAGAGCCAAAACTCTTTTGTTGTGGCAGCCCTTCCACTTATTTTTTTTTTCTTTATTCTTTTATCATTATTTTTTTTTGTTTTCTTACATTTTTTATTTTTTTTTGTTTTAAAAATATATTATTCTTCACTTTACTCTTACGAGAGTAATTTTCTTCGCATGCCTTCCTATTTTATTTTTTGTTAGTTAAAATAATTCTCGTCAAATATGTTCTTACTTAATTTTTTTTTATCAATTGTAATTTTTTCACACAAAAAAGCTAAGGCCCTTTTCTATGGGGCTGTCACATGTCAGTCCCTCCACTTATATTTTTTTTTATTTTATTTTCTTTACTTTTTTGGGACTTTTTCAGTGTTTCCTTCTTTTTGGAAACACTGGTGTTTCCTACTTTTTAGCCGTCAGATTTGCATCAGAATATACATATTCTGCATGTTTTTTCAATCTGATGTAATTTTGTCTAGATTTAACAATTGAAAAGGTAGAGAACATGGGTGTTCTCCAAAAAAGAGAAAACACCAGAAAAACTCCCTACTACTTTATCTTTATTTTTTTTGTGAATTTTTTTATAGTTTTATTTTTTTTTATGAAATATCCATCATTAATTGAATATAAGTTATAAAATTTATGAATCTTTTTTATTTGTACAATAAAAAATTTGTGGAGTTGTTTAGAAATTTTTTTAGGTTAAAACTAACAAATGAAAATAAAAAACCAATTTTCAAGAAAAAAGGAACTATATTTGTGAGGTGGGAGATTTATTGTGTCATCGGGAGTGAAGAAGATATATATTTTTTATTTGGGGGAGGAGGAATTTTTGTTAACGTCATATTCAAGGGAAATGAGGTTGCATTTAAAAAAAAAGAAAGGTAAAATGTTAAAAGAGTATGAATCAGGGGAATACGTTTTAAGCATATTGACCAACTTAATTTTACCTTTTAAAGTTTTGATAATTTAATGATAAAACCAGCATTTCACTTAAGGATATCTTTGTGGTCATCTCTCTCTTTTTTTCCTCTTTACTTTTGTGATAAGGTATCTTATTATTAGTAGTGTGCATTGATTAACCACAATCAAAATCAAAATCAAATATCTTTTTTGGATATTTCCAAAGAACTGTTTTATTTTTATATACACACACAGATTCAACGTTTACAACCATACACTACGCATATGAAGTCCTACCGTAAATGGACCAGGTCCGTACGAGTATAATAAAAAGTAGAAGCTACATAGTAAAGTGAAGTTCAGTAGCATCGGTAAAATTCAGACATGGAATATGTGTCTGTGCAACAGACATTTATTTGATAACATATCAAAAGAGAGTAAAACAGAGCAACCATACGAGAGTTGGTACAAGTGTAGATGCAAAAGCCTATTCCAAACACAGCTTACACAAAATAAAAGTCTTCACCAACCGATTCTCTTTCAGAAAGCTTCAAGCTCCTGCAGTTAGACACTAGTTAGATTGTTTCTCAATTTAGAAGTAAAAGATGTAATATAGTATGAAAAAAAGCAATAACATTATGTCCTTAGAGGTTTCATTCACCAATGAAAGCATTTCTAATGCGTTGTAGCTTCATGATCACATCTTCCATGTTCATTCTTTCATTTGGTGAGTCTTCTGAACAGGCAATTCCAATGTCCAAGATTGAAACCAAGCACTTCTTGTTACGGTTTCTTTCTTCTTCTCGTCCTCTTCTACTTGTTGTTTCTTTTACTTCTTGAGGAAGAAGAGTAGGGTCCACAACTTGCACCACTTTCTCTGGTAATTCCATCTTAACAAAATTATGAAGATTGAAATTGTCTTTGAACATTTCATCAGTAGGTCTCCTTCCAGTGAACAACTCCAATATGAGGATTCCATAGCTATACACGTCTCCCTCTCTTGATGGCTCACCACCCATGGCATACTCTGTAACTCATAAAAAAAATAATAAAATTTTTATTTAGACGTATTAAATTTAACCAATCACAATATAATCAATACAAAAATATTATTGAATGGTTCATCAATGATGCATTTACTTGATAAAAAGTGAAACAAAAGGCAAATGTACAAGATTGTGACTTATGTATTTCTTAGTCAACAAAAAACATTTTATAATTTACAAAAATTGAGCTAATTAACATTTCAATGATGTTATGTACCTGGAGGGGCGTAGCCAATGGTTCCCTTTATTCCAATTGTGCTAGTTTGACCTTCAGAGGAGCCAATGTCGTCTGAGATCAACCTTGCTATTCCAAAATCACTTACATGGGCAATCATTTCCTCATCAAGAAGCATGTTGCTAGGCTTCAGGTCACAATGGACGATCGGTTGGTCGCAATGATGATGAAGATAACAAACTGCAGAA